TCAGCAGGTCAGGCAAAATATCTTTAAAGTAGATTTGTGGGCAACCACCCTCATGTCACGGCTATAAAGAACCAGCAATCTACATTAAAAGAAGCAGATGTCTACCCTACATACTTAGCACGCTTTTTTGGGATGGCCGAGATTCATTTGCCGGTGAAATATGGCGGTTGTTCTCCATTGCCAAGTATGACATTCTGGTGAACACCTCACCTGTCAAAGAAACATCACATCATTCAGGCAGGCAATTTGTCTTCCCTCTCATGCCCAATTTCAATTTAACTCTAGACATTCAAACAGAGTCCATATGCTGCCAGTATCCAAAATATTGCTACATCTATACTTAGTGGTTTGATGAAAGCTGCTAGAGCCCAATGCTTCTGAAAACTAGGCCACTTATTTAGGAGCAAAAATATGAGTTTAATTGCCTCAAGTTAAGCACTTGCATCTCATGTGTTTTCTTCTTATTCTTTTTCTACTGTTACAGGTAAGTAGATTGACAAACAAAATGCTTTCTGATAGTACCAGATTTTACAGGCTGCTAGCAGTGGCATAGGGCTTTTGTCCAAAGTGCATGGGCTAGTAATTTAGTATTAGGTGCTCCTCTTCACTGAAGGTCTTGTGCAGATGTACAAGAAGCTCTACAAGAGGAGACAAAGATCTGGTAGCCAGCTTACTTAGGGGCTGTTTCAGCCATTAGAGGAGGAATACTTAGAGAAAGCAAAGCCCAGCAAAAAAATTTTAGACAGTGTGATTGAAACCATTAGGGAAACCAAAGCCAGGAGGTGCTCCAGTGAAGTTTTGATCTGTCCAAAAATATGCCTTGGTAGAACATTCCCTTTATTCTATCTGCTATGGTTGTGCTATATCCTTGTATAGTACCTTCAGGAAACAACAACATCATGCTAAGATGCGTGCTAAAATGCAAACATAGGGTCCAATCTTCTAAACCTTCCTGCCTTTCTACAGGTATGGATAAGGGTGGCAGAACTACGTCTATATCCATTTTTGGAAGGGAGTTAATATTTCTAGGCTGCTGTCAAATGTACACTCACTTCTGCCTTATAGTCTTTATTGATATGATTAGAAAAACATGCATTTTGCCCATTTTTTCCTAAGGGAAGATAAACATTTCCCTTTAGCTGGGAGCAATGAGAGGAATATTTACATTCTCAACCCCAAAGCCTTTACAAAAAGCCACAAAGCATTGTTTGCAGGTTGAACTTACTATCACTTGTCTGGCCTTTCTCACTTGGGTTTGTAAGCCCTTGGCTGGATCCAGTAAGAGTAGATTCAGTAGAATGACTACCAAGTACCGTCTGTGAATATAAATACCTGCTGGCAGAAAGATAAACATAAGATACCCATGACTTGAGTTATGTTAGTCAAAGGAAGACGGGACATCCAGACTGTGAAGTCACTGAGGAAACATCTGTCGCAAGTATGTGGCTATACAAGCCTTAGGAAGTAAGAGAGTCTGCCACAAGGTGGGCACAGCAATTATGGTTTCAGTTGTGGATAAAAAATGAGCAGCTGGCTTTTACAAAGCAGAGCTTCTCTTCATATTTGTATGAGGACCTGTTTGGTGGTAGCATAGTTGTATTTTGCTATTGGTATCTCCTACCCAGCCCTGCCCTGCCCTTAGAGTGCTAACGGGGTTGCCTGCAGGCAGGAGTGCAGAGATGTTTATCAAGGGAAGAGCTGCAGCAGCAGCTGGATCAGTGCATCAGCACCGAAGGGAGCCGGGCTGGCTGGATGTGAAGGCAAGCTAGCCCCCACCAAACTCTCTTTAGAGAATTAGCCAGACAGCCTTGCTATCAATTGGAAATAGCTAAGCCAGCCTCACCAGGCTGAAGGAGGTTGAACACATCAGTATATCTGGCTGCCAGGTATGGACTCAATGAATTCCACAGCCTCTGGAGCAGCCGAGACAATTTCCAATCCAGGGAGAAAGATGCTAACTTACTGGGCAGGGCTCTGCTCTCCGCACCAAGTCCTTGCTCTGCAGCTGAATTGGGTTGAGCTTCTCTGACAGTCCAACAGCTTATTCAGTAATAAGGGTTCCCCCCGCACTTTATACCAAAGGCTTGTGCAGCCTCCCCACACCCTTGCTGGCTCCCACTCCTTCCTTCCCCTCTACCCCAGATCAGCTTCCTAGCCCTCACCTGCTGGCATGCATCCCAGAGGGGCCTGACCACAGCTTCAATGAACAGCTTCCCTTGCTGGGCCAGTTTGGAAGTACAATTCCCACCTTAACCTCTCCCTAGGAACAGGATCCTCTTCTCAGCCCCCAAACTATTTTTCAAAGCTGAGGAATGCGGTATTACTGTCTAATTGTTGCTATGACCTCCTCAGTCGAGTTGTAGTCATGCACACAGCATTCTTTAAGCAGCCTTACACCAGTGAAAAAAAAGTCCAAGCCAAAAAACCCCCAAATGTCACTGTACCTGTTTGTCGGGAAGCCTGACATTGCCGGTCCCTTTGGATTATCACTCATGTCACTGTCAGCTTCGAGTCCATGAAGGGCTGTTGATGACAGCCTTGGACTTCTCCGCAGGTTCTTTTTTCCATCCATTACAATGGAGATGAAGCAGTGATGAGTGAAGTAATGCGGCTGCTCTCTAGTACTGATACATTGGACACCGCAGATCAATATTAAAATCAATCAAGATTAAAATAAATCAACAAAGCTACACCTGAGAGAAGCTTGTCTTCAAAAGGCAAGCACTCTAGGAGAAATCATTTTGGCTTTCCAATACGCTTTTCTGATCTGGGCAGGTTTATGTACGCCAGACAGTCAGAGACAGCACAGTATTTCCTGTGCACCTCGCTATTATGGCTATTGCTTCAGTGACATCATAATGGACTAAACATAATTTGAGTTGCTTGGCTGCCATTAGGAAAGAGCAACCTTAAAGTGAGACCCCCCACTGGGGGTCAGGCTGTAGCTGAACAGAACCACCTCTTGGACACTGAGTTGGATAAAAAAACTTTTTCCCAAATGCCACATTGTATACTTAACCAGGGGCACCAACCAGGCACCAACCAACCAGGGGCACCAACCTTCCACAAGGAGCCAGGGGCCTTGACTTAGCCTGAAGTCACCCAAAAATGAGGAATCAGGATCAAAAATGCAATGTGGATTTGGCTAATTGGCAGTCTTGAAGGAACTGAATTTCCTGACAGTGCTGGGGAATTCTAGTGGATGAACTTAATGTGTGGGCTGGGAGAAAGCAGCCTAAGAAAGAAAGGACAGTAAGTAGTTAGGGAAAAAAGTGAAGGGCAGTTAGCAAACCCAAAAGAGCAGGGAGCCAGGAAGATATGAGAGAGGCTGTCCTGGAATGGCAGGACCTAGAGCGGAGCCCAGTGTAGAGTCTGTGCTGGGAACTGGAGTCACAAAAAGGAAACTGAAGCCTTGAAAAGAACAGGGAAACAGGCAGCCTCTGGGGAAAGAGAGAGGCCACAGGCAAGACCAAAGGAAACTAGGAATCAGGGTAAGGGGGAAAGTGAAGGGCTTGGGTGGCTGCACCCATCCTAGAGGGGCTGCACCCAACACGGGTGGGTGGCCCTCAAGCAGGGTAGGTTCAGAAATCATTCAGTTCAGCTGGGAGATGAAAGGCCAATGGTCCTCCAGGGAGCTGAATGCTATGGGGAAGTATCACGTTGGCAAAAAAATATGCGCATTTGTGGGATCCCATGGTGAGGCACACCTGTTTGCTATTGCCCACAGCAGGATATGGTATGGTGCTTAGCCAGGGTCATACCTAGACTCCTGGCAGCCCCGGGCAAACTTTTAGTATTAGGCCCGCTTTTGCCAGAGATAATGATTTTTTTGTTGCATTTTGTTTCATTTTGGAGCCCCCTTTCTGTCCAGGCACTGGGCAGCCGCCTGGTTCGCCCATGCCTGTGTCTGGCCCTGTGCTTAGCTAGAAAAGGTGCAAGTCCTCCAAAAGACCTCACAAGGTGCAACAGCTTCTGGCACTTAAAGAAGTTAGCCTAGTTCTGAAACTTACCACTGGAGGGCAGCCGCCCCTTATGCCTTAAACACTTGCCTAGAAAGACTGGAAAATTACTGTTATTTGCAACTTGTTTTTGAGACATTGTTTCTACAATGAACCTCCTTGGGATCTAGCGTTTGCACTTATCTAATGCTAAATTACTGACACCTCCTTTTTGATGCAGATGTCAGTTCCCATAAGTGGGCTACCTGGGATGGCAAGTATTGTAAGTTCTGATGGACTGCTTGATCATGGGGTGCTGAGCAGGACTGGCCAGCTGCTGTATTTGGTATTTATTCAGGATGGAGGGCTGTAGGGGGAATTAGGTAGCTGCTGCATGAAAAGTGACACCAGGGTCACTGGATTTCAGTGCCTGTGAGCACTGGGTAACCATTGCTTAGAGGCAATAGTGAGCAGGGTGCTTCAACACTGACTTCTGGATTGCTGTGGGTGACGGGTAAGGTGGGTACCTGAGTGCCAGAGAATAGGTGGCAAATACTCTAGAAGGGTCTGGAAAGGCGGGGATGTGGGTGGGGAGTGCTGCTTATGGGTGGAGGAGTATGTGTACTGAGGAGGCATCCTGGGAGTGCAGGGTGTTTTGCCTGTGAATGTGTGGGCATGTGGCAGTATTAAGTGGAAGGGTGTTTCCCTGGGAGGTCTAAGAGTGGGTTGTCTGTGTGGGTGGAGAGACAAACTGCCTGGTAGAGGCAAATGGATTGATGACACAGTCTGTGGCAGCTGTAGCTTATAGATCAGGGCAGGCAGGAGTGCTTTTTGCCACCCTTTTCTAATTTACTAAATCCCCAATAAAATGCTAATATAATCTGATTTATTGTTTATGTTTATTAATAAGAATGCTTGTCTGAAACAAAGCAAAGAACCTGAAAAATAAACACTTGCTGGTCTTTTAATTGTTCTCTTTCTTCTAATTGTTCTTTTTTCTTTTAATTGTTCTTTTTTCTCTCCCCCTAGCAGACATTAGGATAATGGTGAAATTGAGAGCAGAGGAATTTTATGCCCCTTCCCAAAAATCTTCCATACTGCCATGACATAGACTCATAGAATCATAGAAAATTAAAATTGGAAGAGACCTCAGGTCCAATCCCCAACTAGATTCCAGCCAGGCCTTAAAAACCTCCAAGGATGGAGATTCCACCACTTCTCTAGTTAACCTGTTCCAGTGCTTCACTACCCTCTTAGTGAGAATTTTTTTTCTAAAATCCAACTTAAACGTCACTTGCTGCAACTTGAAACTATAGCTCCTTGTTCTGTCATCTGCCACTACTGAGAACAGTCTAGCTCCATCCTCTTTCGAACCACCCTTCAGGTAGTTGACGGCTGCTATCAAATCCCCTCCCAGTCGTCTTTTCTCCACACTAAATATGCCCAGTTCCCTAAGCCTCTCCTCAGAAGTCATATGCCTCAGCCCTTAACCATTTTCATTGCCCTGTGCTGGACCCTCTCCAACTTGTTCACATCCTTAGGGGGCCCAAAACTGGACACAGGACTCCAGATGTGGCCTCACCAGTGTAGAATAGAGCAGAATAATCACTTCCCTCAATCTGCTGGCAACACTACCAATGCAGCCCAGTATACTGTTAGCTTTCTTGGCAATGGATCCATCTTATTGTCCGCTGTAACCCCCAGGTCCTTTTCTGCAGAGCTGCTGTTCAGCCAGTCAGTACCTAGACTGTATAGGGCACGATGTCTGAGATTTGGGATGGAACATAAAATTCCTCAGATCTGAAACACATGAATACCAAGGCCAAACCAGCACTGCCCCCAGCCTGATCCAGTGGATTGATATATAGCATGGACTGAGCAGTGGGCAACTGTGGCCTAGACTCTGGGGTTGCCCCATGTTCTATCCTGATGCTCAGCTGGGCCAGAGATAAACTATTAACTGACCCAGAAAAGAACTATAAAGCCAAGTTTTCCCTTATGTTTTGGATATTACCCAATTATCACTTGAGAAAATAATTTTGCAACTGAAGGAACATTCTTTTATATATAAAATGGTGCTCCTTAAGGGGTGGGGGTGTATAAAATGGGTAGCATGTGTGTGTGTATAAAAATAAAAACATACACACACACACACACAAAATGGGCATCTCTCTCTATCCATATATATATATAGAGAGAGAGAGAGAGAGAGAGAGAGAGAGAGAGCATGTGTAGGGGAGGAAGAGAGAATATATAAAATGGGTATGAGTATGTGTGTGTGTCTACATAATGGGTGTATCTATATATATATATATATATATATAATAGGTAAATATATATGATACCTCTGAAAGATTAAAGATGCCCAGCAAAGAATAACAATAACGCATTACTGAGTGTCAGCTGAGTGTCCAGATGGGGCACAAAGCAGTCCCAGGTACTGTTTTGGGATCCAGTGCTGCTGATTCCTGGGCTGAGGGTAAGCCCAGGATCTGGGGCTGCCCTGGGTTTGATAACAAAATCAGCCTCGTGTTTTAATACATGAATGTTGGCATCAGCCTGGGGCAGCCCTGGGTCTGAGATACATGCTACACCTTTAGTTTAAAGTGTATAACATCTTTGTTACTGGTTTTCCATTTTATGACATCATAAATTGGCTGAGCATATAACATATTGCAATTTATGCCATTATTTATACAATTTAACATATAAATTGTGCTGTAGATGTAACATGTGCCAGGGGCCTACATACAATTCCCATTTCTTTTCACAGTTCAAGGAAAGTTTCTGTGATTCCAGTGCTGACAGAATAAACAATGTTCAACAAGCCAAACAAAGCTTTTTGATAGCAACTCTACCTTGTATTCTCACTTGCTTCTTCTGTAGAAAGCAAATCTAAACATCACTATCATTTTTTGCAGCTGAAAACCCTTACCCCTGCTACTAGAAGGAAGTAGGAACAGTGTGGCAGAAAACAAGGTTAGGAAATACAGCCTGCAGAAAGCAGAGTTGCAGGACTGAACAGCTAATGACGGGACTGAGAGCCTTTGAGGCAGATTTAAGATTGCCAGCACCTGGGCCCTGTTTTGCAGAGAGCCAGGTCAGGTGACCAGAGTGGAAGGAGTCATGGCAATATAAGCTCAAGCACAGGGCTAGGGGGGCAGTCTGACCCATATCCCCATAAGTGCAGGCAGTTGTATACACAGAGAGAGTGACAAGTTACATGTTTTGGTTCTTTTTTGGGTTTATGTTAACTATGAGGTTTAGGGTGGCTTAAATAGAAAGATGAGGCCATGGGTGAGGAGCTTGGCAGGAAGTACTCCATATTATCAGGGGGTAAACCCCAAATAAAGTTTTTCAAGGATTTTTTGGACCTGATAGGCTGCCTGTTAAAACCTAGGGATAGAGGCTAAAGTTTTGGATGGGCTGGGGACCTAGCATGAGCAAGGGGACCCAGTATAAGCAAGACAGGTTGAATCTTGGGAGGGACTGAAGCCCTCACAGGGCCAGGGAGCTCAGTGTTAGTGGGCCAGGTGGAAGCCCAGACAGTGCAAGGTGCCCAGGGGAAGTAGGAAGGCAGAGGGAAGGAAAGACAAAGCCCTGCTCAGGCTAGCATGTGAGGACTAGGCAGACT